CCAGAGAAGCAAGGAGACTCTTAGTTGCTAGTTGCCTATCCAAGTCACGTGGTTTAAATATCCATAACCAAACCTGCTGAAGAAATACAAGAAAATAACATTATTTTGATTTAACAATCAGAGATGAGTAAGGACAACCATGTTCCAATATCTTTGGCTATATGGGGATGTGCCTGCCTTCTTCTATTTTCTCCCTTTATTTAACAGCTGTGGGCATAGAAACTCACCGTAAAAAAAAAAAAAAAAAACAAGCCCTCGCAGGAGCTAGTAAACTACAAAAGTATGAGCTTTTTCCTCTTTTGTTGAATTCAGTAACATCCTTTTTGCCAAAATGGTGCCCATGTGTTGGGCAGACTGGAGGGGAACAGGGGCCATCAAGGGCTGCAGCCTCATTGGGTGTCACCCGCTCCAAACGTGTGCTTTGAAGAGTTTCAGAAATTCTGCTATTTTTCGGAACTGACATTCATTAGCTTCGTTGTAAACGTCTATAAATACAGTGAAAGGCATTTACAAATAGACATTGTAAAATGCTTCCACACCCACAGTCTGAACACTGTCAAAACACCAGCTGCAGCTTCCCTACTTGGAAGGATCAGAACCTTTTTTAAACTATACCTACTGTGTTTTCAAAATAGGCTTGTTTCTGGCCTTGTGTAGAAGATAATTTCAGCCGAAAGCCTGTGTCTGCTCTTGGCATGAGGGATCAGGACTTATTCAGAGAGACGGGAGGATCCCAACCTCCTTCCTTTCAGAATATGGCTGGCGCTTTAGAATCTGGGGAGCGGTCGCTCACAGCTGCTATTTCCTATTTCTTCGGGTGGGGGGGATCCCTCATGACATGGATCTCTCAGTGTAGGATTTGTAACTCCACCCCCCCCCAAATGGTTCCCAGGTGAGTTCCAGGTGTGGTCACAGGGGATCACAGAGGCACCTGTGGTCGGGGAGATCCTTAAAGGAGAGTTTGTAGGTAGGGGCCAGGCAATCTCATCTTTTACCTGGATGACACTGTTGGGGAGAAAGGAGAGCAAACATAAGCTGCCTGAATTGTACAAATCTCTGTTATTAAAAGTGAAGTTTTGGGGGCTTCCCTGTTGGCGCAGTGGTTGAGAGTCCGCCTGCCGATGCAGGGGACACGGGTTCGTG